TGAGCAAACTTCTTTCTCAAGTGCTTGATCTTGAGCTCTGCAAAATTTCTTCGCTTTTTCTTCAGGGTTTCTGGCACAGCAGGAACCTTTTTCTTGGTGGCTTCTGCCACAGCAGGAGTCTTTTTCTTGGTTTCTGCCACAGCAAGAACCTTCCTTTTCTTCTCTTGAATGCCCTCCATGATTCCAGTCAGAAAAGAGGAAGTTCACCTCATACTCTTTTAAGATGGCCACTATCTGGGACCAGCAGATGACATAATGGTTATGTGCTAGACTCCCACATAGTCAACTGTGGTTCAAGTCTTGGCCGCAGTGGCTTAAAACTCACGCTGGGCATGTATGTGTGTATGCATGCCCACAATTCTGAGAAGAGAATGGAGAAGGGATTGTGGCATAGCCATCCCCTGTGGTGGGTGATTTCTCACTTTTTGTGTCTCTCTGGAGGGCGCACACACCCTATAGCAAAAATCTAAGAAAAAAAGGATGGCCACTATCATGAACTCCAGAAAATACTAAGTGTTGGTGTATATGTGAAGAAACTGGAATGTTTTTAAAGTGACTTAGTTTTATTTATCATTATTAACTATAGGGTCTGTGCATTTGCCAGAGAGACGGACAGACAGAAAGCAAAGAAATCACCCCCCAGAGGGAATGGTCACGCTGCAATCCCTTCTCCTCCATTCTCTTCTTGGGATTTTTGGGCACACACGCACACGCACCTGGAGTGAGTTTTAAGCTGTTGGGTCCAGGACTCGAATTGCAGTCAACTATGTGGGAATCCAGAGACATAACCATTACGTCATCTGCTATGTCCCCATTATTATTTTTCAATTTGCTACAATGCACATGCACTCGCCAGAAAGAGAGAGAGCAAGGGAAAGTGAGAAAACAAGCTTCCAGGTCCAAGAACTCGAACTGTACTTGGCCATGTGTGAGTCCAGCGATTAACCACCACACTACCTGTTGGCCCCACTCAAAAGTTTAAACATAGAATCACCATATGATCTGAAAATCCCATCTCTGGGTAAACATCCAGATAAACAAAAGCAAGGCCTCAGTTATTTGTACATCCATATTCATTACTGCATTATTACAATAGCCAAAAGGTAGAAGCAAGGCAGGTATCCACTGACAGATGAATGGATTTAAAACGTGGCACATGAGAAAGGTAGTGGTGCAGTGGTAATGCAACTGGATCCACGTGGGAAAGATCCCAGGTTTGTGTTCAGGGATCTCCCTGAGCATGCCCTGTACTAACATATGTGCCCATGATACAGGCTGGCTAAGGCAAGGGTAGACTGCAGTGCAGAGATCCCATGGGTGTACTTATTCTCTCTCTTTCTCTTTCTCTCTGCGCATCTCTCTTCCTGTCTCTCTCTCTCATATAGAAGAAATAAACTTTAGAAAAGTGGCATGGTGGTTAAGGCATTGGATCCCACATGGCCAACACATGTTTGGAGTCCCAGACCTGGTGGCTTGAAAAACATGAGTTTGCCCTGTAGCACAGGGTTTAAGTGCTATGCAAAGGAAACAGGATCCCATATGGCCAACTGGGGTTGAAGTATTGGCCCCAGAGGCTTGAGAAACACACTGAGTGCGTAGGTACGCGTGGCCAGGATGTTGACAGCATGGAGACCTGGAGGAAAAAGTATTGCGGTATAACCAGGGAGATACTCATTTTCTCTTTCTCTCACTCTCTGGTGTTTAAAAACAAAAAAAAAAAGTGGTACATACATACAATGGAATATTATTCAACCTTCAAATGGAAGGGACTCCTACCACATGTTACAACATGAATAAACCTTGAAGACATTATGTTGAATGAAGTAAGCCAGAAACAAAAGGACAAATACCTACTATAATTCCACTTACGTGAGATGTCAACAGGATTCAAATTCATAAAATAAGAAGCAGAAGGGCTGTGGCTAGGGGTCGGGGAAATGGGGAGTTAGTGTGTATGGGTATGCAGTTTCAGTTTGGGAAGATCAACAAGTTCTGGAGGTAGACAGCGGTGATGAATGACAACAATATGAATGTATGTGATGCCACTGAACTAAACATTAAAAAATGGTTAAAATGGGGCCGATTCTGTGGCCTGGTAGTTAAAGCAGTCAGATCCCATATAGTCAACACCAGAGAGGCAGAGAGACAGAAAGTGAGAAATCATTCCCCCAGGGTGGATGGCCAAGTCACAATCCCTTCTCCATTCTCCTCTCAGGATTTTGGGCATGCACACACATGTGCCCTGCCTAAGTTTCAAGCCCTGGGTCCTAGACTCAAGTGCAGTTGACCATGTGGGAGTCCACTGTCTTAACCACTATGCCACTTGCTGGCTCCGTTATGTATCTTTTTAAGAAAAATTTTAAAAACACACAGTAAAATATCACATCATACCTATTAAGAAAGCTATCAAAAAAACAGGATGAGAAATAACAAGTGTTGATGAAAAAGGAAATTGGAACCCTCATGCAATGCTAGTGGGAATGTAAAATAGTACAGTTACTATAGGAGAAAGCTCGCAGTTCCTCAAAAAGCTAAACATAGAATTACATGACCCAGCAATTCCAGTCCTAGGTATACACAAAGAAGAACTGAGAATAGGTATTCAAACTGATACGTGTACCTGAATGTTCACATCAGCAATACTCAAATAACCAAAAGGCAGAAAAACTCCAGATGTCTATCAATGGATGGATAAGCAAAATGCAATGTGTCTATTAAGCAATATTATTCAGTCCTAAAAGTGAAGTAGTGATACATGATACAATGTGGATAAGTCTTGAAAAGATACTAAGTGGGGTGCCAGCTAGTGATGCAGTGTTAGTGGTTAAAGTGCTGGACTCCCACATGGCTAACCACAGCTTGAGTCCTGGATCCAGCAGCTTGAAACTCACACTTGGAGCATGAGGACAAAATCCAGAGAGAACAAAGGAGAAGGGGCTATGGTGTGGCCATCCCCTTGAGGGGTGATTTCTCACTTTCTATCTTTCTCTATCTCTCCAGCAAGCACACAGGGCCTACATGAGCAAAAGTCTCTTTAAAAAAAAAAAAAAGAAACATACTAAGTGAAATAAACCACACACAAAATTCCACTTGTAATGAAATATCTACAAAAGCCGAATCATAGAGACAGTAGAATAGAAGTTGTCAGCTACCATGAAGAATGTGAAATAAGTAGTCACTGTTCAATGGTTAAAGAGTTTGGGTCAACCATAGCCTAATGGTTAAGTAGATGGATCTCAAGTGGCTGACCCATGGTTCAAATCCTGGCCCCGGAGGCTTGAAAAACACAGTGGGGCTTTCGGGGGTGACATTCAGCCAGCCATTTGACTTCTCCCAGGACCTCGGCCCAGTTTGTCCGTAATCTTGCAGAGAGGGACCCAGTGCTGGTGAACGCCGCTGTGACTTACTTGAAGCCACAATTGGCCACATTTTGGCACTACGCCAAGGCTGAGCTGGTTCCTCCAACCCTTGCTGAGATCCCTTCAGAGGACAGAGAAAGAAAGCAAGAAATCACCCCCCAGGAGGGATGGCCATGCCGCAATCCCTTCTCCTCCATTCTCCTCTCGGGATCTTGGGCACACACGCACACGCTCCTGGCGTGAGTTTAAGCAACCCGGTCTGGGACTCGAACCATGGTCGACGACATGGGAGTCCAGCGACATAGCCATTACGCCAACTGCTGGTCCCTCAATAGAGCTGTTTTTAAAAAGATAACTACTGGGGACTCCCAAGTGGCCTGGAGGTTAAGGCGGCTGGGGCCTACATGGCCCACTTGGTGGTCAGAGTCCTGGATCCCACAGTTTGAAACTCTTATCCATTGTGTCCGTGTGCATGCCCAAAATCCCCAAAGGAGAATGGAGGAGGAGGAACTGAGGAATGGTCATTCCCCCCTTGGTTATCATTTTCCAGTTCTCTGTCACTACCTGGACACAGTGGGGGCAGTGATGCAGGGGAGCAACTACTGGGCCTGCTAATGGCATGGTGGTTAAAGCACTGAATCCCACATGGCTAACTGCATAGTTCCAAACCCAGATCTGGTGGCTTGAAAAACATGAAACACATGCAAGCTCCAAATCCCAAGAGAATAATGGCAGAAAAGGGATTGCAGCATGGCCACCGCCCCTGCAGGGGATGCTTGCTCACTTTCTCTCTCTCTGCCTCTCTGATGAGTGTGCACAAACCATACAGTAATTTAAAAAAAAACATAATTATTCTTTAAAAACAATAAAAATGGCAAATTTTGTTAAATATTTTTACCATAGTAAAAATAGATTGATGACTGAACGCATGCATGCATTCATGCATGAATGAATGGCAGGTACAGCAGAAACAGGCGGCACATTCAATATTTTTATCATAGTAAAAATAGATGACTGAACGCATGCATGCATTCATGCATGAATGAATGGCAGGTACAGCAGAAACAGGCGGCACATTCAAATATAGAGAGGAAAACTGGCTTGTGGCGCAAGATCAGCAGAGGCAAACTACTAGGGTCAAATGTTCAGTTTGAGACACGGGACCACAGAGTAGAAGACAGAATAAAAAATGAGTGAACTAAATGGAACTGGTAATAGAAAGCTACTTTAGACTCACTGCATATTTAAGAAAATAAAGACTAGAAAGGAGAGGTATAGACAAGTGAAAAAAGTGGATGAAAGTAAAAGGAATCAATAGCTGTTGCTGTATGCGATAACCACTGTTCATCTGTGAATATTAATATTTATACAACGTCTCTTAAGACTGAAGGCTCTGAATTAACCCAACAAACATCAATTGAACACAGCTTGGGCATTATAAAGACGTACAAAATCTTATCCTTGATTTAATCGACATATCAAAGCCCATAAAACCCCAAACCTCTCAGAACAATTTGGACAATTACTAGTGCAGTGGGATTTTTTTTGTTTTGTTTTGTTTTTTCCCCTTGTTTTAAATGGAGATTAACTTTTTAAAGGATTTTGGTTTATTAGTTAAAAAACACACCGGATTTTACTCACCGATTTCCTCCGATTGTTGCCCAGAGGTTCTAAGCTTGCACTCCTTTGGATAGTGTTTTTGAATGATTTCCCAGAGTTCCATATTGACAAGAGAATTTTTTCGGGTGTGGTACCGAGTCCACGAAGAGACTCGGCGGCGACAAAAGGGACAGCATAAACTTGCCTTTTCGACAGTCGACTGGAAGCATGGTTTACAGAGTGTATGGTTACAAGGGAAAGTTACGGGCTCGATTAGGATTTCCACACAGATCTGGCATTGGCAATCCGACAGGGAAGGGATGGCGTCTTTGGGTACAGCCATTTTAATATGCTAAATGAAGCCTAATTAACAACACCTAAAAGAAAAAAAAAGTATTTTCGGCCACCCACAGAGAAGACAAATTATCAGTCCTGTTTAAATACGATGCCCAGCAGGGTTATCAGAACTGAGAGATAAGGAACGTCAAACAGGACTCGAAGCAAAAATGCGCTCTGCAGGTCAGGTACACAGGAATTCTCCTGAAGGCGATGTATTTGTCCATTTTAAGACGAACGTCCGGCAAGGGAAGAATTGAATTTCCGTCTGCAGAGCCTGGCAGCTCCAAGGCATTAACACCACGGGTGCTGCAGGGCGGGCGGCGGGCTCCGGCCCCCTGGCGCGGCAGGAAGTACGCGCCAAGCTCCCCTCCTCCCGCTTACCAGGTGCGGATGCGCCCCCTGGCTCTCGGTAGCCAAGTCCCGGGCCTCCCGAACCAGAAGCCTGCTTCCGCCCGGACTCCGGGCTCGGCTGTAGCAAGACTTCCGTTTTACCGTTGCTGTTGGGGCAGCGCGCGACCCCCAGCGTCTCCAGCTTTCGGGAGACTAGCGCCGTTTGCCACAGCTCCGCGCCCCGCCCTTGTCTTAAACCATTCAAAAGCCCTATTCGTTGCGGTGGTGCCATAGCCCTCGGACACAGTCTATTGACGTCACAACCACCCGCCAAAAGCTCACGTCCCACCCAGAAAACTGCCCAATGGCAGAAGCGGCTAATGTTCAGCTGGGCGGGACTTCCGGGACCTGTGCGACACGCTCCACCCGGTCTCGGTGTTGCAACACCTCCAGGTCCCTTTGCATGGAGCCTGTTTTTTTCTCTGAGATTTCTGGTCCAGGCCATGCAGAAACTCCTCAATGCTGCGAGATTGGTCTCTGAGCAGCGAAAGGGGAACCTCAGAACAAATTAAAGACCAGTAGTTTTTGCAGTTCTTCTGTCAGTATTGTTCAGACTACAAATACTGTTTCTATTAAACTCCTTGGCTTTTTTTCCAAAACTCTTAGAAAAAATCCCCCCCCCCCCCGTTACTGTTTTGAAAGTGGAGGATTTCGGTTTTTTCCCTTTGTTCAAAAATATTTCATGCTGGGGACCAGCAGTTAGCGTAATGGCTATGTTGCTGGGCTCCCACGTAGTCGACCGCGGTTTGAGTCCCAGACCCGGTGGCTTAGACTCATGCCGCTCGCGTGTGCGTGCGTTCCCAAGATCCCGAGAGGAAAATGGAGGAGAAGGAATTGCGGCATGGCCCCCTGGGGGGTGATTTCTCGCTTTCTGTCTCTCTGTCTTTCTGGCAAGTGCACGCACCCTATAGCAAAAACTTCTCAAAAATTTTCTTTCATGTTATATTGTCTTCTCAGTACTTAAAAATGAGAAAAATAAAACCATGGGCTAGAAAGGTGGTGCAGCAGTAACCTGGCCCATGTGGGAACCAAGACCTGGGGTTGTCTCTTATGACCTCCTTATTTGCTGGAGGACCCTGTTGGAGTACCCATACACACACACAGACACACACACACAATGGAAGAAAGAAACTTTTATTTAAAAAAGAATTATTATATTTAATGTTCTAGTAGTCAGAGAGAGGGAGGTAAATTGAGCAAGCTGCCAAATCCGAAACTCGAACTGGTTGACCATGTGGGAGTCCACTCCTCAACCACCACCAACTGCTGGCTCCGAAATAATGGTTTTTTTTTTTAAGCATTTAGGGAAACCAGCAGATAACATAATGTTTGTGTCCCTGGAGTCCCACGTGGTGGACTGCCATTCCAGTCCAGGACCCAGTGGCTTAAAACTCATGCAGGGCCAGAGTGCTTGCATGCCCAAAATTCCCAGAAGAAAATGAAGAAGGGATCTCAGTGTGGCCATCCCCCCTGGAGGACGATTTCTCAGTTTCTGTCTCTCTGTCTCTGTTTCTGCGAATGCAGGTGCCCTATATCAAAAATCTCTCTCAAAAAGAAAATTGGGGGGCCCAGCAGGTGTCATGATTAAAGTGTTGGGCTCCCACATCATCGACCATCATTCTGACTGAACCCAATGGCTTGGGTTTGACACTGGGCACTTGTGCATGTGTTAGTGCCCAGAATCCCAAGAGTAGGATGGAGGAGAAAGCATTGTGGTGTGGCCACCTCCCTCCCAACAGAGAGGGTGATTTCTCACTTTCACTATGTCTCTCTAGGGAGCTTATGCCCCCTATGGCAAAAACCTAAAATAAAAAATTTCTAAAAGCATTTCTCAAGGCCTGCCAGTGCCAGATCCCATATAGTCAACTCTTGTCTTTTTTTTTTTTTTTAAGAATTATTTTATTTAACTTTATTTACTTATTCTAATTTGACCAGAGAGGGGGGAAGGGGCGGGAAGTGAGAAAGCAAGCTGCCAGGTCCGAGACTCAAACCACAGCCATATGGGAGTCCAGCACCCTTGACAACCACTCTACCTGCTAGCCCCCAACTCTTGTCTTTTATGGAGATTGAGGTGTGACCATACCCCATTGGAGGTGCTTTCTTGCCCTCCCCCCCCGTGTGTGTGTGTGTGTGTGTGTGGTGTGTGTGTGTGTGTGTGTGTGGCTAGTGCACAGACCCCCTGGCAAATTTAAGGGGAAAAAAAATCTCTCAGGACCTTCAGAGAAAGGTTATGGTCAGACCAGCTGCAAACCTGGGACAATTTAACTGGCGCTTGGACTTCCTTCAACAGCCTAACCTCTTAAAGCCTGCTGCCAGGGAGAGATTGTTTTAGGACTGCTTTCTTTTCTAAGATGTGAGGCCTATTGGCATGAGCCATAAACTTGAATGCTATATTGGTTCCAGGGCTTAGCCATTTATGTCTTGCACATAGTTTATGCAATACATTTATATTAAGTTTCAATCTGGAACAATCAACTTTACAGAGAGAGGTTAACAAGAATATGGTTTCATGGTTTCACATTTTTTGTGAATTTTGGAATAATTTTTCCACTTTGATATTAACTTTTTCAACCGATAATTGATTCTACAAAATTAAATTGAATTCTATGTGAAAAAGAAAAAACTGACTAGGAAAATAACCAGGAATATACATGAAGAATATGATCCTTAGGGGCCAGGCGGTGGCACAGTGGTAAAACAACTGGACCCACGGTTGAAGGTTCTGAGTTCATGTCCTAGAGCCTCCCTGTGCACACTGAGTATGCACACACGTGCCCATGATCCAGGCTGGCAGAGGCTGGGGTTAGAACTCAGCGTGTGGGGGATGCCTGTCTATCTTTCTGTTTTTCTCTATCACGCAAAGTAAATAAACTTTTAAAAAGAGAAAGAGGACAGCTGGTGTTGTGGTACCTAGGGAGGCTGGATCCTACGTGGCTGGCTATAGTTCGAGTTCTTGACCCAGTGACTTGAAAAGCAGGTCAGGCACATGTTCATGCATGTCCCAAATGCTCAAAGTAAAAATGAAATGGAAGGGGGAACCAGCAGTTAGCGGAATGGCTATGTCGCTGGACTCCCACGTAGTCGACTGCGGTTCAGGTCCCAGACCCAGCGGCTTAAAACTCACACCGGGCGCGTGTGCGTGCGTGCCCAAGATCCCGAGAGGAGAATGGAGGAGAAGGGATTGCAGCGTGACCATCCCCCCTGGGGGGTGATTTCTCGCTTTCTGTCTCTATGTCCCTCTTTGTCTGTCTGGCGAGCGCACGCACCCTATAGCGAAAACCTCTCCAAAAAAAAAAAAAGGAATTGAAGGGATTATGGTGCAACCATCCCCCACAGGGTGTGCTTTCTCGCTTCTCTCTCTCTCTGTCTCCTTCTGGTAAGTGCATGTGTACTCTAGTAAATTTTTAAAAAGAGAGAAAGAGAGACAAAGATCTTTGTCACATAAAAATTTTTGATTCTCTTGTACTTAAAAAACAGACCTGAGGTTATTTTTTAATTTTTGTAAAATTATTTATTTTATTTATTTTAATTTTTTAAAGCTTGCTATAGGACATGGGCACTTACCAGAGAGAGAGAAAGAAGAAAAAATGAGAAAGCAAGCCACCAGACCTGGTACTCAAACCACAGTCAGTCAGGTGGGAATCCAGCAACTTAGCCAACATGATACCCACTAGTTCCAGTCCTGAGTTTTGTAAGGACATATTTAGTAGGTGTTATGGAAAAGCAAAGAAAACCACTGCACCGTGAAAGTAATCTTTAAGGTCCTTTGGGTTTGCTGAGGGCATTCAAGTTGGGTAGAGGAGTAGTTTCCAGATTGAGCCAAAACAAGGAGATGTGGGTACTTGGAAGGGAGCTGTGGTTTAAATGTGGATCCAGAAACCTGAGGTCATCATTTGGAATTCTAGACTCCTCATGTGTCCACAAAATGCTTTTCCCATGGAATTTCCATTGATTGATTGATTGATTGATTTTCCGTTTTGCTAGAGTGTGCGCGTTCACTGGGGATGGTGCGGGGGAGAGTGAGAAATCACCCCTGGAGGGGGATGGCCACACTGCAATCCCTTCTCCATCATTCTCCTTTCAGGATTTTGGGCACACGCATACATGTGCCTGGCATGATTTTCAAGCCAGTGGGTCCGACACTTGAACCATGAAGTTGGCCATTGGGATCCAGCAACCTTAACCACCATGCCGCCAGCTGACCCATCCTTATTCTTTTAAATATTCAATTATGACCTGTTTGCTATCATTCACATCTCATGCCTTCATGCTCTTGCTTTCTCAATTCATCCTACATGGGTTGTTTTGTGGCTTCCCCTCTTTCGAGAATCAATTTAATGCACTTTCTCCAAGAAGTATTTCCCCCATCACACAAATTCACCCAGTCATATATTGCCTGGTAATCGTGATTTTTATTGTCATCTTTTTGTTTTGTTTTGTTTTTATTGTAATCTTATTATGTAATTTCTACATTTCGATTTCTATTTTCAGGTGCTTATGTCTTGCATATATTTTATTGATTCTTCAGGTTTCCTTGGCCTTGTGAGCTTTCTGAACCCACAGTCACTTGCTATGCCTGCCACTGACCAGTCGCACTCCTGGGATCACTGGCTTCTCCAGCCATTTATGAACAATGCAGGAGCTGACTTCCCAGTGGCCATGAGGAGGGCCTGGATGATGCATGCCAGAAATGTGAGAGCACTCCCCAGAGAGCAACTTTAGCCACTGGAAAACAGTAGATTTAGTGAGTGCAAAAGATAAATTCCCTTTTCTTCTTTAAAGGCAGGGTTTCCTCAAACTGTGTCTGGAGAAGGACGAGACTGAATGGATGTACCTGCAGAACAGCCTGCTGTGTCTCGTGGCCCATCTTTGAGGTGGGGCATGAGGTAACACACGCCTGGTACTACCTCATATCCTTCTCTGCCTAAGTTCCTTCCAGTGCATCTCATGACTCTAGGCATCCTGAATTTGCACCTCAAATAAGAACATTAGCACTTAGTGGATGGCAGGTGGCACAGTGGTTAAGGCACCAGACTCCCACCTGGCTGACTGTGGTTTGAGTCCTGGACTTGGCGGCTTGCTTTCTTTCTTCCTTCACTCCCCCTGTCTCTCTCTGGTCAAATTAAAAATCCCTCCCCCTGTCTCCCTCTGGTCAAATTAAAAAATAATAATAATAAAATTAAAATAATAAAAAAACACATTAGTACTTAATCTTTATCTCAAGGACAGGGTCTACATTTTTTATTGTTCTGTTATTCACAGCACCTAGCACAGGGCATTTGGTATTCAATAAATATAAATAAATTGTCAGTATGTGACAATTCCCTTTCCAGTATAAATAACTATTGTACTGTACTTGAGAGCAAAGATACATCAACATATCATTTGTAGCTCCTCATGGTATATATGTCAGGGACGTTAATTGTTTATTTGTATTTAAATAGGTAATACATTCACATGTTTCAAAATTCGAAATATACAAAATGGTTCACAGTGAAAAGCTCTCCTCTTACCTTTGACCACCTAGCCTTAGTTTGCTTTCCTCAGACAACTAATATTATCATTTTCTTATATATTTCTGCAGAATACATTTATGACCATAGTAGCTAATTTGCATTGCATATTTGTCTTTTTTCTACTTAATAACACATATTAGAAATAGATATTTAAGGGACCAGCAGTTGGCATAATGGCTATGTTGCTGGACTCCCATGTAGTCGACCACGGTTCAAGTCCCGGACCTGGTGGCTTATACTCATGCCAGGGGTGTGGGCATGTGTGCCCAGGATCCCAAGAGGAGAATGGAGGAGAAGGGACTGGGACGTGGCCATCTCCCCTGGGGTGTGATTTCTCGCTTTCTGTCTCTCTGTCTCTCTCTCTGGTGAGTGCATGTGCCCTGTAGCAAAAAAATAAATAAATAAAAAGAAAGAAAAGAAAAGAAAAAAAGAAACAAGAAAAAGAAATAGATATTCAAAAATGAAAATACATCTTGGTGCTAACTCTATAGCATTATACAAAGAACCTCTTTGTTCTTTTATATGGCTATACAGAAAGAATCCACTGTATCAATTTATAATTTCTTAAACACTCTTCACTTTTTATTCTAAAAATTAGACAAAAAAAATTAAATTGTGTGTACATTTCTTCTCCATTTGCAAGATGAATTACCAGAAGAGGAACCACTGGGCCGTAGGGTAACATTAGTTTCTGACTGATGGTATCAACCCTTTTAGGGATGATTTTTGCTCTTCAGAGGTCCTCACTGCTTTCCCCTTCTCGATGACCTGAACAGCCCTCAGCAAACCATCCTGCAGCATCTGGTTCTTTACCATGTTCGTGACCATGAATGTGACATCCCTGATGTACATCTGTCTCACCTTAGCAGGATAGTGCTCTGCCTTGCTACCGTGTGCAATGAAGAAGGTACAGAGTGCTGTCATGTCTCCTTCCTGCAGCCCACACTCCTCCAGGACAGACTCCCACACGAGTCTAATGCGCTTGTTCTTGACTTTTCGTCTAAGGACAGAGGCTAAGGTGGGGAGACCTCTCACTAGGTCTGGCAGCTTCTCGAGTATGCGCGTGTGCAAGAAAGTAAGTACTTCAATGACGTAGCTGTATAAAATGTTCAATTCCATCGGAGTGAACCTGAAAAACATGGGGAGAGCTTCTTAAACAGTAGAATACTGTATGTATAAATATAAAATAAATTGTATTAGGATAACTCAATACAAAGTCATTAAGAGAGCCAGCCGTTGTATTTCAGAAAATGTTCTAGGATTAGAGCCTGCCTGAACTGGACAGCTGAGTTCTCGGGTCACCCACACGGTAAGTTCCTTGATGATGGGGAGGAATATTATCTATTTCTGTGTTAACAAGACTTGGGCAAGCAAGAGACTTTGTGATAAGATGTGTACCACAGTGCCTAGCTTATAAACAGATGCTCAAATTAATTGGTTTTGAGTTAATGAGCCTAAAAAATGTAACTTTTTCATAATCCACTATTGGAACCATATAAAGAAATTCAAGGACTTAGCATGGTGGTGCACAGGTAGTGCCACCATTTGGAAAACTGGAAGCCCCTTGGAGGCCTGAGTGTGGGTTCTAGGCCACTCGAATAAGCTGGACAGTTGTACGTGCCTGTAATTCTAGCTAACTGGGAAGCTAGGGCAAGAGGATCCTGACACAGCAAGACCTGTCAAAAATACTGATCTCCAGCTCAGCCTTTGGTGCAGCCAGTAACGTGCTAGCCCGCAGAGCTGAAGCCACACACAGACTCTGGTTTATGTCCCCAGCCCAGCTGTCCTGCAGACATGCCAGGCATATGTGCACATTCCCAGGACCCTGGTGGGTTGGAGGACTGGAGGAAGGAGATCACAGAATAACTGAGTCCTCTCTCGCTCCCTCTCTCTCCCTCTCACACACACACTCTATTAGGAATAATTTTTTAAAAATGCCTATTTCTGTTTTTCCCTTTTTCTTTCTCTCTCCCACTCTCAGTCTCATTAAGAAAAACAAAAAGGTCTGAGGATGGTGGCATGTGTCTGTAATCCCAGCAATTTGGGAAACTGAGGCACGAAGACTGCAAGCCTGGCCTGGGCAACAGAGCAAGACCCTAAGGAAGGGTCTTGAAGTCTAACAAAGAGCCACTTGGGGTTCTGGGTGCCGCGGCCTGGCTAAGGTAGCTGTGGTGTCACTTCTGGAGGTGGCGACGGCCCTGTGAGGGGCAAGACCCGAATGGCGGGTGTTGGCAGTGGCAGCGGTGAACGGGACTTCTTGGCCCGGTTTCAGTATCTTTTTGGAAAGAGGCAGTGTATAACTAAATGAATTGAACTGATTGTACATCCCCAGCATCTCAATGTGGTCTGGCCATATTTTTAAAGCATTATTTAAATTTAAACAAAAAAACTAAGAAGAAACAGCTGTTACAGAGATCTTATATAGATAGCCGACAAAGCCTAAAATAGTTACAATCTGGCTGTTTGTAGAAAACATTTGTTGATTCCTGATTTAATTCATTTTATCTTGATGACATTCCAGTGAGTGTGAAAAGTGAATGTGCCCACAGCTAAAGGATGGCACGGTCGAGATCAAGATCAGCCAGGTGGAAATACAGGTCTTTATCACCAGTACCTAGAAATTCTGAACACTACAAGCAAAGATATTCTCATGGGCAATATGGCTGTGAACATAGAAGGCTCCAAAAAGACCTGCTGCTTGGAGAATGGGTAGTGAGAAAAATGAACAGAATAAACACGATTCCTTCTCGTGGAGATAGACATTACCGATCGTTTATTTTTTTTTTTGGAGAGGTATTTGCTATAGGGTGTGTGCACTCACCAGAAAGACAGAGAGAGACAGAGAGACAGAAAGTGAGAAATCACCCCCAGGGGGGAGGGCCACGCCTCAATCCCTTCTCCCTTCTCCTCTCAGGATCTTGGGCACGCACACACATGCACCTGGCGTGAGTTTAAGCCATGGGACTTGAACCGCGATAGACTACATGGGAGTTCAGTGACTTAGCCATTACACCAACTGCTGGTCCCATACACTACTGGTCTTATGAACATCAATAACCTTCCCCAAACATAAGAGGGAACTCTTTAGAAATTGTTTATATGTATTCATCTCACTAGTATATTTGCCTGGAAGAGGGGATAGTAAGAGAAGATCTGAGTATATGCCCAAATACACAGAGAATGTATCCTACAAAGAGCATGAAAGGAGTCGTTATCCCCAGAAAGTTCAAGGAAGGTATATTCCAGATGATCACAGAGTTAGAGGAAGTGAAAGAGTAGGGAATCCACCTCGGAGGGTTTTTTTTAGATCTGAAGGAAAGTGGCATGAAGAGTTGAGACACCAGAGGTTACAAAAAGAAAAATATTCCCAGTCACCTAGAAGAGGCTCTGAAGACTTTGAAACATGGAGCTCTTTTCAGAAGAAGTATCCTGGGACCAGCAGTTAGCATAATGGCTATGTCGCTGGACTCCCATGTAGTCTACTGTGGTTCGAGTCCCAGACCCGGTGGCTTAAACTCATGCTGGGCATGTGTGCATGCATGCCCAAGATCCCGAGAGGAGAATGGAGGAGAAGGGATTGCGGTGTGGCCATCCCCCCGGGGGGTGATTTCTCATTTTCTATCTATCTGTCTCTCTCTGTCTTTCTGGCAAGTGCACGTGCCCTACTGCAAAAACCTCTCCAAAAAAAGAAGTATCCTGAGGATCATGATTTCAGAAAATATAGACACACAGCGGAAAGACCTAAAGTGTGGAAAGGTTGAAAACAGAGCCTGTCAGGAACCCAAAGTGGAAGCCTGAACATTCTTTTCTACCTTACCAAGAGAAGAAAGATCAGTGGAATATCAGACCCCAAACTCATCGACCTGTGGAGAGGGACTACCCAGAGACTAGTTCAGCAATCTTTGACTATTGCCACATGAGCCCTCTGATGGGGACCAGGACTTTTCTGGTGGGAGAACTCAGAAGTATTCTAAGGAAGATAGGAAATACAGTTCTCAAAAAGGTTCTGTAAATAGAGAGTCAGGTTGTTTTAATGCTGGAAGAGAGGGAGAGACTGAAGATGGGTCAGTCAGAGAACCTTGTAAACCACCTAAGAAAGACTACATTGCCTGCACTCATACAAATAAAAATGATGTTGGGAACCAGCAGTTAGCGGAATGGCTATGTTGCTGGACTCCCACGTAGTCAACCGCAGTTCACGTCCCGGACCCGGTGGCTTAAAACACGCCGGGCACGTGTGCGTGCATGCCCAAGATCCCAAGAGGAGAATGGAGGAGAAGGGATTGCGGCGTGACCATCTCCCCTGGGGGGTGATTTCTCGCTTTCTGTCTCTATGTCTCTCTTTGTCTGTCTGGTGAGCGCATGTGCCCTATAGCTAAAACCTCTCCAAAACAAACAAACAAAAAATGATGTTGATTTGAAGCCTGGCACTGATAAATGGAAGGAAACGAAGAAAGAAGGGGATTGCAGAAAGGAGAGCAACTCTTGATAAAAGCCAGTTCCTTTCTGATTTGAAATCCTCTCCTGTCAACCTTAGGAAGAAATCACTCACAGCTAGAGTAGATGTGAAGAAAAAAGTAGATACATTCGGGAAAAGTGAGAGCTTTCATTGAGTGTTTGAACATCTTGACTCAATTCAGAACACTGATAAGAAACCTTCAGAAGAACTTGCTCAGGAAATCGTAACAATAATCCATCAAGTTAAAGAAAATTATTTTACATCACCTGGCGTTACTCTACATGAACCTTTCCCCAAAGTACAAAATACATCTCATGCAAATGTAGATGAAATTAAATTGAGTTCAAATCCAGAAATTCACAGGAGAATAGGTATGTCTCTGGCTGAGCTTCAGAGTAAACCAACTATAATATATGAATCAGAGCAGACTCTGGTCAAAATAATAGATCCAGGTGACCGACAACATGACAGTCAGTGACGTCTACGACAAAACGAAGATGAGCACATTGTTCACACAGCTACTGCTGCAGAGAGGAATGATCAGCATTCCAGTTTTCCAAAGGTAAAACATGTTGATGCTGATGGATTCCAGAAGCCTACATTTTAGAAAATTTATTCAGACAAAAGACATCACTACTGGGAACCAGCAGTTAGCGTAATAGTTGTCGTTGGACTCCCACGTAGTCGATCGCGGTTTGTGTCCCGGACCCGGTGGCTTAAAACTCACGCCGGGCGCATGTGCGTGCGTGCCCAAGATCCCGAGAGGAGAACGGAGGAGAAGGGATTGCGGCGTGACCATCCCCTCTGGGGGGTGATTTCTTGCTTTCTGTCTCTCTGTCTCTCTCTGTCTGTCTGGCGAGCGCACGCGCCCTATAGCGAAAACCTCTCAAAAAAAAGACATCACTACTTACAAACCATCTGAAGTTGAGGGAATCTATTAAACACAAGAGGCTTTAAAAGACCTTTAAGAGCGACTTTAGAGGTAGCAGATCCCAGCCCCAGTATAAATCAGGCCTAGTACAGAAAAGCTTGTACATTCGGGCTAAATATCAGCATTTACAATTTGCTGGCCCAAGAGGATTTGTCACAGATACATTCAGAGAAAGGTTATGAGGGAAAAAAAGGAATATACAAATGTTGCCACTGAAATCTAATCTGGAATCGAGGCAAATGGAAATGACACTACAGGAGGATATTGGGGAGCATCTCTTTTGTTCGGAGTTAGAACTGACACTAAGGCACTCATACTGTAACTTTCTTGATAATTTTGTTTTTCAGTAGTGGAAAGCTGCAACTCCTTTGCACTTAATTGCTTTTAAATTACAGTATTCAATTTAAAAATTGTATTAACTACAGTTTCTTTTACAAAAAGTCAAAAGAATCACTTGAAGGGCATTATTTGTTAATGCATTTTTTTCTGAGCATAGTTTCATAGAGAGAAGTTAACCAAGCAATACCCAGTTTATATGTTGAAAGTTATACTTATGTAATAAAAACAAAAGTATCTGAATTGTATACTGTCTGTACATGAAAGAACTTTAAACAGTGGCAGCAAATTTTACACCAGATTTTTCTTTTTCTGATGACATTATAATTAAAAGTTTTCAGAAGTTTCTGAAAATCAAGGCCTCTATAATTCATACATTTCATATTATAAGAAGGCAAGAGAAACAGTGCTTCAAATTTTCCATCAGGTAGTTGCAAGTGCACTGATTTTTTAGAAATATGTTCATTCTGCTTTTTCCACCACGATTTGCTGTTTTCCCATTTCAAATACTATTGTGGAAAATATGTAAAGATTTATAATCTATAATCCATCTTATTTTTCCCTCTGGGCAAGCTTGTGCATATCATACTTTTAAAAGGCTTTTAAAAATCTGACAGACAAAAATGTCATATTTGAGAATCGTACTTTACTATGACAGCGTCACACATCCTGCAGGCACAGGTTCTGGAGTGTTTATTTCAGCTCAGTTGATACATATTGCATAGTACTGTGAGTAAGATGAAATCATTGGGATTTTAAATGAAACTTTTAGATTCCAGTACCTTGTTTCTTTATGTTTTCTGTGTTCTGCTTAACAGTATATATACATTCCCAATTAAACTTTTGTGAAATGTTTATTTGTAATAAAATAAAATACTGTTTATTCTTTCCGGAAAAAAAAAAAAAAAGAAAAAGAAGAAAAGAAAGAGCCACTTGGGCCTAGCAGGTGGCATGATGGTTGTGGTGGCTGGATCCCATGTGGTTGACTGTATGGTTCGAATCATGGACCCAGTGGCCTGAAAATCATGCATGTGTGCACGAGCCCAAAATCCCAAGAGGAGAATAGAGAAGAAGATTGCAGAATGGCCATACCCCCTGGTAGGTGATTATTTTTCTCGCTCTCTGTCAGTCCCTTGCTGGCAAATGCAAGCACGGATAGCAAAACTTGAAGAAAAAAAAAAAAGCCACTCATGGTGGCATGTACTTGGGGTCCCAGCTACTTAGGAGGCTGAGGCAGGAGGATCTAAATACAGTGAGAATCTATGTAAGAAAAAAAAAAAATGAAAGAAAGCAAATAAAAAAAGAAAGTAATTCAATTTGGAATGACCACAAGAAACTCTCACAAAGCCACCAAATGCCACTAGTCTCGTAACTGATACTCACTTGAGTGCCAGAACAGCTGTCCACAGCTCATCTTGGGTTGCCTGGTTAGCCAGAGTCTTGCTAAGATGTTCAAATTTCTGTGTCAGATTATCCTTGGAGAAGTCCAGTTCTTTGAATTGTGCTTCTAAAGCTTGGAGTTTGTTATTTACTCTGTAGAGTAAAAGAATCAAAGGTTGGGTCAGCAGGTGGCATGGAGATTAAAGCAACTAGATCCATATAGCCAACTGTGTGGTTTGAGTCCCAGACCTGGTGGCTTAAGACTCAAACTGGGCACACAGTCATGCCCAAAAATCTGGAAAGGAGAATGAAGAAGGAATTGCAGTGTGGTCATCCCTCCAGGAGGTGGTTTCTAAATTTCTCTCTCTCTCTCTCTCTCTCTCTCTGGAGAGAGTGCAGACACGCTATAGAAAGCTGAAAGAAAAAAAAAGAATCAAGCATTGGTTTAGGTCAGAGGACAAGACTAAGGCTGTGCCGTAGATAAAGGTGCTAATACATTATTTATAACCACTGCTACATCTGGGTAACTATTTAAATTTAAAATGATGAACACATGCTGCCATTTACCATTCCCTCTGGTCATCATTCTGTTCCTTCCTTGTGTGGCCATACTTTTGAATCAACTCATTACTTTGATAATTTGCCATTTTTTGTCTTTGTATTATACTTTAAAGACTATTTTATACAAGCATTCTTTGATTCTCACAACAACCATAAAAAGTGAGGTAAGTTGGGGGACCAGCAGATGTCATAGCAGTTGTGTGGCTGGACTCCCACATGGCCAACCATAGTTCGAGTCTCAGACCTAGGGGCTTCAAACTCACACCTGGAACGAGTGCATGTGTGCCCAAGATCCTGGGGAGAGAATGGAGAAGGAATTGCCATGTGGCCACCCCCCTGGGGGGTGATTTCTCACTTTCTGTCTCACTGTGTCTATGTGACTCTCTCTCTGGTGAACACATGTACCCTAAGGCAAAAACCTCTATCATTTTTACTATATTACAGATAAACAGTCTCCTCCCTGGTGAGCGCATACACCCTATAGCAAAACTAAAAAAAAAAAAAAAAAGAAAGAAAGAAAGAAAGAAAGAAAGAAAGAAAGAAAGAAAGAAAGAAACCGAGTCTCAGAAAGGTATACCCCTGGGACCAGCAGCTGATGTATGGTTACCTTGCTAGACTCCCACATAGTCAATCGCAGTTTGAATCCTGGACCCGGTGGCTTAAAACTCATGCCCCAAATCCTGAGAGGACAATGGAGAAGCAGGGATTGCAGCATGGCCATCCCTTCTGGGGGGTGATTTCTTGCTTTCTGTCTCTCCAGTAAGCATATGCACCTCATGGCAAAAATCTCTCTTAAAAAAAAAGAAAATAGCCCTAATGCCATACTACTAGCTAGTGCTGGGACCAGTATAAGATCAAGTTCCTTTCTGTACCCTATTCTGATCGTCCCAGTCCTATGCTTCCTTCAGGGACTGGCTCAAGTTCCACTGCCTTCTTGAATCCCCTTGATCTCACTGTCCTGCTTCTCTCTCACCAGGACTGCCCCTACTACCCATCACTCCCCAGTGCCTGCTTTATTTTTAGAATTAGCTTTTCTCCTTTTTAAATTTTTAAAATTTGTTTAAGATTTTTGCCATAGGATACATGTACTCATGGGAGAGGAGAGAGACAGTGAGAGGGAAAGTGAGAAATCACGCCCCCCCACACCCCCAGGGAGGAATGGCCATGCCACAATCCCTTCTCCATTCTCCTCCTGGGATTTGGGGCATGCACACACACACAGGCTGAGCATATTTTTAAGCCATGGAACTCAAACTGCAGTTGGCCATGTGGGAGTCCAGCACCCCTGCTGGTCCTAGAGTTAGCTTTTCATGAGCTAAATTGTAAGTTCTATCCCACATGGCTGACTGTGATTCAAGTCCCCATTCAGATAGCTTAAAAATCACGTGTTTGTTCCCCTAAATCCCAAAGGGATGGAGAAATGGAGAAAAAGAGATTGAGGCATGACCATTCCCCACTAGGGGGTGCTTCCCCCCACCTGTGGTGTACCCTCTGGCCAACAAACAAACAAACAACAACAAAAATCTTTTAAAATGTAAGATCTTGGAGGGAAGGAATCAGAGACCATTTCTTAGATATCTTTATGCCCGTGCCCCAGTACCTAGCAAAAGCCTTAACATAGAAGTAATAAAATATTACATTGGTGCAAAAGCAATTGAGGTTTTGGACCATGAATTTTAAATCATTATAACTAGGCCCAAACACATCTTTATTAATCAAAATAAAAACCAGTACAGTCAACACATTTTTGCCAACGAGAAATACATTTGTTGATTCTTGTAGCATAAAAATCCATGCTTTGGGGGACCAGCAGATGGCATAATGATAGTCGACCATGGTTTAAATCCCAGACCCAGTAGCTTGAACTCACGCTGGATGTGTGTGCGTGCGTGTCCAAGATCCCAAGAGGAGAATTGAGGAGAAGGGATTGCAGCGTGGCCATCCTCCTTAGGGGGTGATTTCTCACTCTCTGTCTCTCTCTGTCTTTCTGGCCAGTATACACACTCTGTAGCAAAAATCTCTCTTAAAAAAAAATCTATGCTTCAGGATTCGATGAACTCTTGGAAAGCACCTGCATTCTGCTCAATGTGGAAGCATTTTTGCTGCAAAAAGTTGTTAAGATGCTTGAAGAAGTGGTCAGGTGAATATGGCAGATAAAGCACTTTCTAGCACAATTTGTTCAATTTTTTTTTTTTTACTTTTTTTGCCATAGGGGGTACATGTTTGCCAGGGGAAAACACAGGGAGAGAGAAAGTGAGAAATCACCCCCTTTGGTGGGGATGGCCACACTGCAATTCCTTTTCCTCCTTTCTTCTTGGATTTTGGACATGCACACACATGTGCCCGGCATGATTTTTAAGCTGCTGGATCTGGGATTTGAAATGTGGTTGGCCATGTGGGAGTCCAGTGCTATAACCACTACGCCACCTTCAACTTCTGAAGCATTGGTTGTGTAACATGTGGTCAGGCACTGTCATGGGGAACTGGGCCCTTTCTGTTGACCAATGCCAGTAGCAGGTGTTGCAGTTTTCAGTCCATGTTACTGATTTGCTGAGCATACTTCTCAGATGAACTGGTCTTTCTGGGATTCAGAGAGCTGTAGTAGAGCAGACCCCACCACGCAGTGACCATGAACTCTTTTGGGTGCAAGTTTGGCTTTGGCAAGTGCTTTGGAGCTGCTTCTTCACTGAGCTGGTTGTTGCCGGTTATTGTATAAAATCCACTTTTCATCACACATCACAATCTGATTGAGAAATGGTTTATTTTTGTTGTGTAGAATAAGAGAAGAAAGCACCTCAAAATGATTATTTACTTATTTTAAATTTATTTATCTACCTGTTTATTATTTATTTTAATTTGACCAGAGAGGGACAGAGGCACAGAGAGAGAGAGAGAGAGAGCAAGCTGCCAGGTCTGGGACTCGAACCTCAGTTGGCCATGTGGGAGTCCAGTGCATTTAAGCACCATGCCACCTGCCAGCCTCAAAGTGATTTTTTTTTTTTATTTTGGGTCAGCTCATGAGGCACTCACTTTTTTGATTTTGGGTCAGCTCATGAGGCACTCACTTATCAAGCTTTTCATTTTTCCAATTTACTTCAAGTGCTGAACTAACATAGAATGGTCAGCATTGAGTTCTTCAGCAGCGTCATGTGTAGTTGTAAGAGGATCACCTTTTTTTCCTCATTTATTTATTTGCAGTCATTCACTTTACATTAATAGAATATACAAAATGAGATATTCCATCCAGAACACATTGTATATTGGCTCAATCAAGGATATTACCATACATGTCATCATCAAAAAATCATTTTCTATTTATTGTTTCTTATATATTTTGCTTTTTCCTCCCCTTGATTCCCTACCTCTCACACCCTGCCAATCTCCTCCCTTTCTCCCACTTTGTCGCTAGTATATACAGTTATTTTCCATGCCTTTAAAAACATTCAATGTCAAGCACAGCTGATATAAACATATTTAAGAACACATGTCTGACTTTCGGTGTAAATCTCAGGAGTGAAGGGAACATACTATAAAGTAGCACCTCGATGGGGCTATGGAACTTACTGCAGTCATTAAATAAGTATAATAGCTATTTTTTAATGCATTTGTTTATTTCAAGAAAAACAGTTTTAGTTTTAATAGATCAAAATTTTAAAAATGTTAAGAGAATTTGTTTAAAATTTAAAGCCAGGTGGGGCTGGCAGGTGGCATGGTGGTCGAGGTCACTGGACTCCCACAGGGCTGACCACGGTTTGAGCCCCAGACCTGGCAGTTTACTTTCCCATTTCTCTCTCTCTCTCTCTCGCTTTTCCTCTCTGGCCAAATTAAATAAATTAGTAAATGGATCAATAAAGTTGAATAAAATAATTATTTAAAATAAAAAAAAACTTGGGGCCGGAAAGTGGCATGGTGGTTAAAGGTGCTGGACTTATATATGGCCAACCATGGTTCCAGTCCCCAGCCTGGTGGCTTTTTTTCCTTGCTTTTCCTCTTTCTGTCTTTCTCTGATTAAACTGGAAAATATAATAATAATAATAAAGTTAAATAAAACAATTCTTAAAACAAACAAAAAATGTATTTGTAAAAAATCTTAAAGCCAGGAAAAAGGTTAGGATTCAGTTCAAACAGTAGGTAGATGAACCCATCAACAGTCCAAGAGAAGACAAAAATCCTTAAATAATGAAATCAAAGCATCGAAGAAAATCAGTAATGTTTTAGTCTAAAGTAAAAAAAAATTATATTTCACTAGTTCAGACTCACATAATTAATCCCTCTTCTATTGAATATGCAGTGTTACTGTGGTCTGATCTTTCCATTTAAACTCTGGAAGTTAACATTCAACTCCAGACTTGTGCCTACATTTAGGCTGGCCATTCTCTTGGTTGTTTCTTGTACTCTTATTTCTGTGTCCGACTTTATAGTTTTCCTGGTATAGCACTCTCTTGAGCACTTCTTGGAGAGCTGGTCTGGTGTCAGTAAATTCTCTCTGGTTTTGTTTATCTGAGAATGTTTTTGTCTTTTTTCCCATATGAAGGATAATCTTGCCAGGTATAGTATTCTTGGTTGAAATTGTTTTTCACTTATCACTTTGA